TCCCCGTCCTACCCCCGTCACTGATCCCGCCTCCCTCTCCTACCCCCTGCATTCCCTCATCACAGAAAACCCAAGAAGACCCCAATGTGTCCAGTGACAACAGATGTTCAGGCCTGTCGCCTGAGCCCCAAGCTACAGCAAAGGGAGGTGGGAGGCTGTGGTGTTCTCAGGGATCAGGCAGCACAGAAGGTTCCAGGCTGTGCTTCTCCTTTTGGCTCCGTTTCCCCGGGTGAGTTGCCCATACTTGCTGAGCCTCAGGCTCTTCATCTGCAGAAGGAACTGAGCCCCTGCCCTGCCCTGTCTCTGCAGTTTCACCACGCCCCCCTGTACCTGGAGTGGGCTCCAGTGGGCATCTTCTCCAGCTCAGCCCCGCAGATGAAGGAACCCCGAGATCCCCCAGCAGGACCTGCAGAAGAGGACAGGGCGGAAGAAGAAACCTGTAAGAGCTGAGATCAGGGTGTCCCAGGGCAGGGGGCAAGTGGAGGAGGGCGGGTGGGAGGGCTGGGCGCAACGCTCAAGTCTGTAAGATACTTGGTTTCAAGTTATTTATTTGTCCTGGAGACCGGCGGAGCTCAGGTTCTCGGATTTTACAGGCATGTAAGATGTCCTTAAGATCAGAGCATAGAAATTTTAGGTGCAACATAAAGTAGCCAGCTTTTCCGTTTGCCAATTAAAGGTTGAAAAAGACCCCTGGAATCTACCACTAAGGATTTAGAACCGAGCAGGTGAGAACCTTCTTGTTTTATACACCTGCCAGCATGCCTGACCAGTGAGGGCCTGCAGTGAGAAGTCTCTCCTCCGTCCTTGGAGTGGCATAGCACAAGGGCAGGGTGGGGATGCCGGGGCAGGGTCAGGGGTGGCTCACCCCCCGCTAATGCTTCACACTTGGGGGCGGAAGGGGCGCCATTGGTGCGGGGGGAGCACCGTCCCCCCCCCACCTTGCCAGGATGGTCGTGCAAATAGCAAAGCATTTTGCGCCCCCACCCTCTCTGCCCACTGAATGTCCAGAGCGTTCGGTGCTCATGACGACCTGAAACACTGTCCGTGTTCCCTCCGTGTTCCCCAGATGTCCCCTAGGGGGCGAGAAGCGCTCAGGGTGGGGACCACGACACATCCTAGAATCAAAGACCTTCAGAAAAGTTTTGAAAAGGGCTGGCGGTCCTGTTATCCAGATGTTAGGACCTTGCTCATTAGCAGTATCCCCCGCTTTCCTACTCACCTCCCCCCATAGGGTTACCCAGTGTATTAAAATAAGAATTGAGAAAATAAATCTCCCATCTACCATCTCCGTCGTTCCCAGAAAGGGTGACTCAGAGCAAAAACGGGGCGAGCAGAATTCTCAGATTAAAGAACAGGCCTTTAATTGAATAGACCTCGCTGTCCATAAACCTCCTAGGGCTGTCTGCATTTGCCACGTTGTCGTGAGTCCGTAAAACCTTCAGGACCAGCCCAGTCGGCACCAGGCACTCGGGAGCCCCTGGTCTGGTATCTTTGTTCCAATCAAGAAGGGCAGTTCTTTGCTCTCTGCATCTCGAGGCTCCAGGAGCCTCCCTCGTTCTCAGACTTACTGATTACTGGTATGAACCTTCACTGGCACCTGTTCTTGAGTTAGTTTTGTCCACAGATTGGATTAGGGTTCCCTTCAAAACCCGCTTTTGCCACCATAGGAAGACTTCTCTTGACACAGTCCTGTGACTTTCTTAACGAGCCATCACCCCAAAATCATCAGCCACCTTAGCGTTCACTTCATTTGATCATCCTGAACTTGAATAATATTTTTGGCCAAAGCAAGTCCTCCTTTTAGGCACACACACTTGCCAGGAGTGAGGGCCCATTTCCTACCTGCTTTGGCGGGACCACTAAGCCTGATGCCATGTGGCCACACTCGTTTGCACATGTCCTGGTGTGGCCCCTTGCCCTGGCCTTCTAAAACACTTGTCAGAGTTTGTATTCTATATATTCATTTGTTTTTCTTGCTCAATATCCGTCTCTGGCCGACGGGAGAACCACGAGGGCAAGGAGCAGCTGCCTTGCTCACTGCTGGGTGCCCTGTCCCCCACGAAGCCCCAGGCATAGGCTGGCTCCATGAATATGTGTGGACGGAGTAAACGGATGCAGGAAGAAGGGTTTCTGCCCCCCTCTCTGTGCCTGGAAGCCTGGGTTATCCTGGTCTCTGTGCCAAGTCTCAGGCACACAGTAGGAGTTTGGTGATGGAGGGTTTGTCCTCCAGCGGTCGTCCTGCGTCGGAGCAGAGTGGAGAGGGTGCCAGCACCGATTCCAGGGACAGTCCCAGCTCCTGCTGGGTGTACCGATTGATGCCCACCCCACGAGCTACCCTTTGCTTTGTTCTAACCCTTTCCCACTTCCTGGAATCGTGGACAGGCTCACTTCCTTGGTGTCTGACTTCCCTGTTAGAAAGTCCGTGCCACAAGGCAGGTGTTTTGTCCACTTGCTCCCTGCTGAACCTCAGCACCTGGAAGGAGGGCGGTGCCAGGTGCTGAGCGAACCCCGGGGCGCTTACGCTGTGCTAGGCCCTGCACTGAGCACTTCCCGTTCCTCGGCGCACCGCTCAGAGCTCCTGGGGAAATCACTGTCCTCCCTCTCCCCTCCTGGCCCTGTGGCCGGGCGAGCCACCCTCCTTCTCTGAGGCTCGGTTTCAGCGTCCGTGAAATGGGCGTGATGACCATGCTGACCCCTCAGGGCGGAGGTGAGAGTATGGCGAGGCACTGCGGGGAAAGCAGCAATATTCTGCCCCTCCGGTACAAGCCGGAGCGGATGGCTCATCATTCAGCCGTGAGCACCAGCTTCCGCTGAGCTGGGGTGACCCCAGTGGGTGCCACGCAGACCCTCTTCCCCAGAAGAGGCCTGGTGGGGGCCAGCTGAGATGTCCCACTAGGAGCAGGGGCAGGCCTTGCAGACAGAAACATTCTGGAGCTCACGGAGAGGAGGCTTGGCAGAGACCCCGTCCCCAAGTCTGCCCTGCCCCACTGAGCCCTGCGTCCTGGGGCCTGGGCTGCCCTGTTGAGAGCCTCCCAGACAGACTTCCCCTGACAGGCCCTGCCTCTCGGGGCTGACGACACTCACACAAAGGAGGCCGCGGAGCCCGGCCGAGGGGCCTGGCTGCATGCCTGATTTCAGACGGGGCGCTATGCGTGTCTGGACTGATTTCAAGCCCTGCTGAGGTCCGCATCACCAGGTGCATTCCTACAGAGCTCCCCTCCTGGGCTCCTTTTTGCCCTTTCTGTTCCTTTTTCTTACACGAATCGCATACGTAGCCCCCTCCCCAGCCTCCTGTGCCATTCCTTTTCACGTGCTCCTCCCACATGCCTGGGCCCCCACCTCATTCCCAAAGCTTCCCCCATCCCCATCGCACTCAGCCAGCCCCCAAGCCCTAGATTTTCTCAGCCCCTGAAAGAGGGGAGCGGGGAGGGGAGTGGATGGGCTTTTATTTTCCCAGCCCCCCCTCCTTCCTTTCTGGAAAGCTCCCCGTTCCCTGTACCAGTCTCGAGGGAGGGGGACAGTGTGTTTTATCTCCCCACAACCAAGACCCTCACCTCCAGATAAAGGGCTCAGAGTCGGGGGAGGTCCTGAAAAGCTGCTTGCAACTGATAACAGTCTCTGCTGTCAGCCTTCAGCGCCCAGAGCTGGGAAGGTGGAGGGGGGGAGCCGTGGTAAATTCTGCGGCCTGATTATAATAAAGCCCCATGTGGTGATGCGTGACCGGGTTTTATTGTGCCAGCTACAGATGGAAGCACATTCTCCCCTGCCTGCCCCAGCCCCCTCCGGCCCACCTGACTTTGAAATCCTTCCCCCCGCTCGCACTCCCACCCTCTGGCCCAGCCCCGCTTGCCTTCCTTACTTCTTCCCTCTTTCTCTGGTTCCTGGTGATTTTGTTGGCAAACATCTGTTTGAGTCTCACAGTATCTCATTTTTCTTTCTCGTCTTTGTCTCCCCACTCGGGCCAGGAGCAGAAGTGCTTTTAAAAATGACCTTTGGCTTTGCAGCCGTGGCACTTGGCCTCCACGTCACACCTCTCTGGACAGGGACGCAAGTGTGTGGGCTGCAGCAGTGCCTGGCCTGGCCACTCGGGGAGCAGAAGCCCTTCCCAGGGGTGTGGCTGGCAGGGACACGGTCCCCCGGGCTCTGAGGTGTGGCCCACACTGCTCCTGAGTGGCATCACCGGGACTCTGACCCAGATCACCCCTTCCTAAGGCCTGTGTGCTTTTCACAGCTCTGTGCTGCTCCTGGCTGCTCTGTGGGCCCCTTTTCAGTTTTTCCAGGCCCCCCATATTCAGCAGATCTCAAGACCAGCCGCCTTGTCTTATTCATTCTCCCAGCATCCCAGGGGCAGTTACAGGTGCAGGCAGGTGGTTGCTGGGGACACAGAGGTTTAGAGAAACCACAGACATCTCTGTGCTGTTGGAGGATGGCCAGACCACATTTAATCATGTCTTTTATTTCAAGCTGGATCTCCCTCCCGGATGTTGGGGGTCAGGGCTGTTGGCCGACTGATTAACTGTTGGAGGAGCTAGTGGGCCAGGCCAGCCGCACACCTGGGGCGGCCTTAGGTCCTGGCCACCCTCACAGTCCCCTTGTTGTTCCCGGGCAGGGGCCAAGGGCAGCTCACTCACCATGGAAAAGATCAGTCTTCTGTTCCTGGGGTGCCGACCCTAACTGTTAGCTCAGCTCTCGCTAAACCTAAACATCCCGTCTCTAGGGCAGGTGCCTCTAACCTTTCACACAGCTCTTCGAAGCCAGGCAGGGAAGCAGGATGGAGCTGGGCTCCCCTGAGCTGCTGTCCCGGGGAGGCTTGGAACCCCTGAGACACCGGGAACTGGCTGAATTCTGGGCGTTTGGGAGGGCTGGTGGTCTTTGCTGGCGGTCTGTGCACAGGCTGGGTGTGGGCAGCAGTACACAAAGGCCGATGAGCTGGTTGGTGTATTGGTTGACCACTGCCTGGTACAGACGCCTCGGGCCATTGAGTTAGTTGCCAATTTTTAAAAACCACGGGTTTTTCTGTCAAAAGATGGATTTTCAGCTTCTTTTGGAAGACCACGTGAGACCACCCTGAGTTGACCTCCCATGGCAGCAGTTGGCTGGTATCAAGCAGGGGCTGCCCCTTAAGCTAACCACAAGCCTTCTTGGTCACCATCATCCCCACTTCTGTCTTCTCTTTCAAAAGAATTTCTTTGGTCTTCCACGAACCTCTCTCCCAACCTGAAGATCCCTCAGATTTAGGGTTCAGAGGCAGCAGCAACCTCCAGCTTTGGTCACGGGCCGCCCACTTTTTGTGATGTGGCTCCCGTGGTCATTAATGAGACAGTCCACCTGAGGCATCGAGCCCAGTGCCTGGAGCATGGGGCCAGGGTGGGGAGCTGTCTAATCAGCCGTCCTTCCCCCTCTGCTTTCATCTCCAGGATGGCAAATGCAAGGAGAGCCAGTGGGGTGGAAATGTCATTCCCAGCTGAAGGTCATGGTTTTCAGCTCGATTGAAGCTCTCATTCAGACCCCGAAGTCTTAGCTACTTTGCATAGCTTCGCCTCCCCATCATTAGCAATACTTTGTCCACCCTGCTTTGCTTTGAGCGTTGAGTACAAATAGCCACACCACGGAGTCCCTGGTTGGGTAAATTGTGTTAGTGTCTTGGGTGGGGGAGGAGCCTTTGTGTTGATTTCTTCTTTTTTGTCCTGGAGTGAGGGTCTGGGTTCTGGGTTCACCTCCGGGGGAGCAGGAGGGAAGGCTGTCTCTTCAACTGATGTGAGGCAGACAACTTTATCACGGCCGCCCGTGGCCATCGGGGCTTGAAAGGGTTGTTTTATGACAAATCGGTTGAAGCTTAATTAGGCCTCGCAAGCATTCAGCTTGCCTCACGAGGGGCCGGGGAGGCAGACAGGCAGTGTGGGTACTTGGCGTGAGAGTGGGGGGGGGCGGATTTGAACCCCAAGAAGCTTGAAGTGTTTGAGTGCAGGTGTGGGGGAGGAGAGGGCTGTATCTGTCATCCGGGAGCCGGTGCCTGGGGCCTGTGCCAGACAGGGCAGGCCAGGTTTGGATCTGTGTGGGGGGACGGGCCCCCTGCTCAGAACCACACAGGTGTGAGGGTGCTGTCTCGTGACCGCTTTAAGGAACCTCCGAGGTGGGCTTCGGTTTCCGCAGGGCGTGGGAGGAACCTCAGAAGCTTGTCTGCGGAGGTGGGATGTGACCCCGGGCCCTGACCGGGTGACATGGGGAAATCAGGGAGGTTGAACTGTGCACATTTCCTCATAGCAGGACTTCTAAGAGGTCACAGTGCTGATCTCGTTCTTCTGAGCCTTCTGTCACCCCCAGGTGACGTCCACACGCATCACCACGGCCGACCCTGACCCTCAGCCTGCTGATGCGTGGCCTCCTATTTGCTCTTCCCCCTTCCTGAAATGCTGTTCCTCCCGAGCAGGTGGGACAAGAGGGCTGGGGTCACGAACCCTGTTCTCCAGACGCACCCAGGAGCACCTTCTGCGCCCCCTTCCAGCTTCGCTCCCTGCATATGTCCCTCAGGAACTGTGTGCAGGGAATGTGATTGGCCTTATGCTGTTTATTGGTTCAGATCTTAATTTTTCTCGTAACTTTTATACCATAAGCATCATTCTTTGTCCTCACACATCCTTTTGGAAATATTTTTAATGAACACCTATCATCCCAACCTTGGGTGGCCCTGTAACATTCCTAGTGTCCTACTTATGAGTATTTAGTGGTTTGTTTGTTTGTTTTCAGTTTTTGTCATGTGCAGCTCTGAATTTATGTTGTCAGGCATAGATAAGGCACACTCTTACGTGTGTGGCTCTCCAAAGTTATGTATATTGGGGATTCTAATTGAACGTGACATCCCTGAGGTTCATGAGATATTTAGAGGGTTCTAAGTTTTGCTGCCATTCTGTAATTTTTCAAAAGTTTTGAGTCGCATTTTAGTTTGAAATTTCGCTCTCTATATCGCTTTTGTGGAAGAGTAACCCGTTACTTAAGTTTGTGGTTCAGTAAAACAGTTCACACGGTAATTTATATCAAGGTTCACATTGGTGTGGGTTAGTCCAAGGCTCGGACTTCTGGTCTGGGTTTCATATTCCTTCAAAAGAGAGGCCAGAGGCAGGACAGCCTCGCCCCCCTCCCCGGTCTCCACCCCCCAGACTCCCCCAAAGAGTGGCTAGAACCCCGCATCAGCTGGGAATCCGTGCCCCTTCCCGACGCCGCCCGCACAGAGGCGGAACCCCTCTGGTCTAGCAGGTTCTGTGCTATAGGCCCTGGAGCTCAGACCTTTTGTGGATTTGCCATCTAATGGATTTGTGTTTGGGGGGGACGCAGTGCCAGACAACGAGACTCCAGGAGGTGAAAAGCCAACAGAGGGAGGAGCTGCGGACTCTCCAGAGGAAGAGGAGGAGGAGAGCCTCCCCGGGTGTACTCTGTTTATTAAAAACCTCAGCTTCAGCACGACGGAGGAGACCCTGAAGGGAGTGAGTGATGGTTGAGAATGGGGAAGGGGATCGTGGGGCGGGGAAGCCCGTCTGCTGACGCGCTGCCTCGTTTATTTGGCCTGTAAATCTGGTTTGCGCTGATATGGGGCTTCACAGCCAGCCACCGGCCCCTCCACGTCCCTGCTGGGCTGTCCCGTAGGCACCTCCCCCAGGGACTTGAGTCATGGGCAGACCCGCCTGGGGGCTGGGAGGGGCACCCACAGACATGGAAGGGGACGTGTCAGGGCAGCTAGGGAGGCGTGTGCAGTGTGAAAGCTGTCGTCTTGTGTGTGTTAGTGTTGCCCATTCAGAAAACAAAGCCACCCCCCACCTCTGCACCCCGCCGATTGTTTCTGTGGTGTTAACTACCCAAAAGCAAATGTTAGCACCACCTCCTGGCCTGATGGGAGCAGGCAGAAGACCCAGGAATGAGTGCGGGGCAGCCCTGCCTGAAATCCCTGGACGGGATGTGGGTTTTGCATTCTTGGGGGGTGGGGTGGAGGGTACAAAGATGGGCATCTCCAAGTAGGTGTTTGGGAAATGTCAAGTGGGTCCTAGCCCGAGTGGGGTTGGGGGGCCTTGTGAAGGAGTTGGCCAGAGATAGGGAAATGGAGCCTCCGGTTCCAAAGGATTATTAGGGTCTGCAAGCTCCCCTGCTGGGCTGAGACCTGCTATGGGGAGACTCCTCATTTCTATGAACTGGGTTTGACACATTTTTTTTTTTTAATGCATAAATCACTGATCATTAGCAGGCTGACAGCCCTGGATTGGTTCTGAAAAAAAATAAGATGGCCATAAGGATTGAACTCACTGACTTCTAAAAACTCTTTTGAGTTCCAAAATCCCACAAATGGACTCAAGAAGGGGGATGGGGTCCACTGAGTCCCAGAGGCAGATGGCGGTGGGTGGGTGGAAGGGAGGCCAGCCTGCATCCGGAGGGAGAGATTGAGGTGTCTCCTCGGGGAGGTAAGAGGTCAGAGCATGCACTGGGAGGCCGTCTGGCTAAGTCTATGATGTGCCCGTCCTCTTGCCGGTTGGGAGAGTGGCCATGGCAGAGCGGCATGTCGGCCAAAGCAGCAGCATCTTCAGGGCAGAGTTTCACCGTATGGAGCAACTGGAAACCCACCCTGGGACTTCTCGTTGGCTGCTTCCTGAATCCATTTTGGTTCGGGCTGGGTTTGCTTTTGTAAAGAGGCAGGCCCCCAGTAGTGCCGGATTGCTTCAGAGAGCTGAAGGCAGCGTGTAGCGTGTGTTCATTCCTGCTGTGCCGGCTCTCCCGGGTCTGATACAGGAACATCATCAGGAATCGTTGCTTCCTGGAAGATGCACCCAAGCTTCAGACTCGGGAGCTGGGAGTCACCGCTGGGGTGATGTTCAGGTTCCACACGCATAGCTGTGAGGCCTGAGCTTCAGGGGGTCAGGTCACTGTCCCAGGGCCACAAGCCCCTTGGAGGCTCTGCAGGGAACGGCGTCCAGCCCTCGTGTTGCCCCAAGTTAGGGGTCACACTGCCTGGACTTGGATCCCGGCCTCACTCTTGGCTAATAGTGCAACCCTGGGCGAGTCCTTTATCCTGTCTATGCCACAGTCTCCTCCTCTGTACAGTGGGGATGTTAGGAGAATCTTCCTGTGGAGTGGTTTTTTTTAAGATTTTATTTATTTATTTATTTGAAAGAGTGAGTGAGAGAGAGAGAAGCAGGGAGGGGGAGAGGGGGAAGCAGACTCCCCACTAAGCAGGGAGCCCAACGTGGGGCTTGATCCAGGGACTCTGGGATCATGACCTTAGCTGAAGGCAGATGCTTAACCGACTGAGCCACCCAGGCGCCCCTGTTGGAGTGGTTTTAAAGATCTGATTAGGACGGGTGCGCCTTGGATTAAGAGAGTCCATAAGTGTCCGCACCTTATGCGTGATCTGGGTACTAGCTGTGCTGTTAGTCCTGCCCTCTTGGGGCCCATGGCTGTGTACATAGCCTCTGTCTTTTGAGATGTGCCTGCACTAGTTGCAGGATTAGCCTGAAAATCCTTGACATTCCTTTGTGCTGATACACCTTGACATTCCTTTCCAGGTGTTTTCCAAAGTGGGGACAGTGAAGAGCTGCTCTATTTCCAAGAAGAAGAACAAAGCAGGTATTCCCTACAAAACCACCGTCAGAAAGGATGATTCCAGAAGAACCTGTGGCTTTTGGGGGGGGGGGTGGCGAGGGTAACTCTCGCTTGCTCATTTGGAAGGTCCTCACATTCTCACATGGCCCACCTAAAACAGTCCCTCTTTGTCTGTCCCTGGAGACTCCCAGTGTTCCGTGGATGCAGCCGTGCACATCAGGGTCTTCTGAATTTAGACTCTTTGCCTTGGGCCTTGGACTGTCCCCTGGTCTCAGTGCATTTGATGGTCCACCGGTGTTGACACTGTACTGTAGCAGAAGCTTCTCCCTCCTCCCAGCACCTCTGGGCTCTGGAAATGTCCTAAAGAAGAGCAGGGAGAGACTGATCTTGGGCCTTCCCACTTCCCTTCCAAGAGAAGCAACCCAGACGTAGAACCTCTGGAACGATCCACTGAGCCATTATCTGGGAGCTACAGAGCTGGTTTGGGATATAAGAAAGGCAGCTAAGTACCAAGTGAGCAATATGAAGGCTCAGTTGCAGGGGCTTCAGGAAAGGAGGTGACCCCTGATGTCCAGGCGGCGAGTCAGGCTGGTAGAGGGGCCACCAGCTCTGCCTGGGGCTGCCCCTGTGGGTTGTAGGGTCGCTGCGTCCCTCTCCGCCATCAGATGCTGTGGAGCCTACCTTTTGGCCCTCAGGAGCACCTCTCAGCGTACTTTAGAAAGAGTTACCTGATCTTTCAGTGCTTTCCAATATCTGCTGAAGAAACCAGTGTTCACGGTTGTCACAGGGTGGTGCCACCTGGCAGCCAGTAGATCTGTCTGAGGCTCCCTTCTGTGGCCCACAGAGCCACATGTGGATAATTTCGAGGACTTTCTTACAGCGTCGGGGCCTCATTTGATAGCACGGAGTTGTGAATGGAAATGCAAGCAAGCGGTCCACGCAGTAGGGGCTCGGGTCTCATGAACAATACAGTAGAGGCGAAGATGGGACCAGTGAGCAAGTTGAAGGTGGTGAATCTCTATCCTCATTTGGACCCATCACACTTGAGCGAGCCCTCTGAGTTCAACTGTGAAAAAACGAAAGAATAAAATTAATACATCTGCGTAACATGCAGGGGTTGGGGGGAAGGAGGCACACGTCACATTCTGTGCCATAGGGCAAGGTGTAATTAGACAAGTGCCCCATAAAATACCAGCTGCCCCTCCCCCAATTTTATATATGTAGGTAAAGCACATAGATCTCAAGTCGGGAAGCAAGTGTTTCCGATAAACTTTTGTGATCTCCCTTGTTCTCTGAACCGTTGCTACTCACTGCCTTAGAAGTAGGGGACCAGAGAGGTTTGCATAATGCAGCCGCCCTCCCCGTCTGAACTTGGTATCTGAAACCCAGGAGCAGCTGTAATCGGAGGGTCAGAAATACCTGTAAAGGGGAGGGGGGTGGGGGGATGGGTTAGCCGGGTAATGGATATGAAGGAGGGCACGTACTGCATGGAACACTGGGTGTTATACGAAAACAATGAATCATGGAACACTCCATCAAAAGCTAATGATATATGGTGACTAACATTAACATAATAAGATAAAAAAAAAAAAGAAATACCTGTAAAGGGGAAGTCTTTGGTGCCTCTTGCTTTTCACGCACATACTCATCTTCTGCGTTGTGTGTGGAAGCGGGGGGACGGCCTCGGTAGATGTTGAGCTGCTTGTCATAGTGATGGTCATCCCTGGTCGTTCCTTCTCCCTCCCAAAGGCGGAATTCTATTACGAAGTTAATTATCATGTCAGTCATCTGTTAATTAATAGTCAACTGGGCCTCAGGTGACGGCTATATAACTTTGTTGGCTGGTTCTTCAGGATGACTGGTAATACATGGCGAGCCAGGAGCAGAAATCTTTTTGGGAACGAAGGAGGGGGATGAGGAAGAGAGAAAAGAGTAGACGTCCAGGGGCCCCCTGGAGCCCTTGCACTTGGGCTCGTGCTTTCTTCACTTTCTTGTCCACCCAGCTCACCCCTGTGATTTCTGCCTCTCTCCTGCAGGAGCGATGCTCTCCATGGGATTTGGATTCGTGGAATACAGGAAGCCAGAGCAAGCCAAGAAGGCTCTCAAGCAGCTCCAGGTAAGGTGGGGATTTCAGCCGAGGTCCTCAGAGGCACTTGGGTAGGTAGTGGGGGTGGGGAGAGGGGTTCCCACCTGTCAGTGCTGCTGAAATTGAGTGGGAATGCGGGTAAGTCCACATTTTTCTGGGCCCCTCGCTTCCTCCAGTCCTCCAGAAAAATGAAGACCCCCTCCTCAGCACTCTGTCGTCACTGTAGTGTGTTCATTAATCCACAGCTCTGTGCCAGGTCTGGGGGAGATGGCAGAGCAGACCTCTGAATAAATACACAGAACCAGGTCACGAGCTCTTGGATGGAAATGAAGCAGGCACTTTGATGGGCAGGGAGGGCTACTTTACGATGTGTGGTCAGGGGAGACCTCTCTTGAGGTGACAGTTGAGCTAATACCTAATGACAAGAAGGAGTCAACTACATAAAGATCTGGGGGGAAAGCAGTCTGGGGTGGGGGGGAACAGCATGTGCAAAGGGCCTGAGGCAGGGACTCTAAGGTAGGAGTGAGCTTAGTCTGTTTGAGAGATACAAAGAGGCCAGTGTGGCAGAGGAGGTGTGAGGTGGGTGGTGCCTGGACCTGGATCTTGCAGGCCTTTTAATGCCCTTGGAATCCAGTTGTAAGGCAGTGAGATTCAATCAGAGGGCTTCGAGCACACCAGGGAAGGGACTCTTATGCTTCCGGACAGCCTCTCCAGCTGCTGTGCAGAGAGTGGATCATAGGGGAGCAGATGGGAGACCATTGAGTCATCCAGGGAGGAAAGGGTGTTGGCCTAGACGGGGGTGGAGGCAGTGGGGACAAGGGAGCTGAACTCCCAAGGTGTTTGGACAGAGACCTCGCATCCTTTTCAGAGAAAAGAATAACAGTGCCTTCCTGCTGGGTCCGACGTGCAGAGTCAGACCAGGGTCCTCGGGAGCAGGAGGGGAGCTGAACTGCGGCCCCAGGGAGCAGGACAGTCTGGGATTTGTGCCTCCTCAAAATGAGACAGGCCTCTGCTCGGAACAGTGTCCTCAACATTCTTCCCTGATGCCCCCCATCCCCAAGGCCTTTGGTGGCAGGGGACAAGGAGCGGTGCCCCCCCCACACACACCTTTCTTTCTGCAAGACCTCCTTGCTCCCACTGTCCTTTGCCTTTCCCTTGTTCTGCAGCCAGAGCGCTCATGATCGTGCCTCTAGATCAGGCTTCTAGACCCAAGTCCATAGAAGGGCTTCAAGGGGTCCAGGGACCCTTTTAAGCCATTTTCAGAATGTCACGTGACCATGTGCACTGTACAAAGGAGGACATGGCCTGCCTGGCATGAAGCTAGGCAGTGGGAAGATAAAATAGAGTTAAATCCGGCCCAGTTTACAAGCCAAGGCGTGGCCAGCGGCACACCATTCCCTGGCTCTTGTTCTCCCTCTGAGAGGTGCACCTGGGCCAGACCCAGCTAGGCGGTTCTCAGTGTGGAAAGGACATGCATACAGGGCCCCTTCCCAGTCCCAGCAGAGCTTCCCATGCAGGGGAAAGGCCCCAGGGCTATCGGAAATGCAGCAGGGCATTTAGCCGCTGATACAATTGTTTTTGTAGAATTTTGATGACCTTGGCTAGAGGCCACTTCACGAAGGGCTGAGTTGCTTTTGGGTAGGATGTTGGGGAGGTGAGCCCTCTGGGGCCTCTGCTCTCTTTGAAAGGCTCTCTTGCTCTCCACCAGGGCTCGCAGACTCAGATGCCCGCAGGGGCCGGGACTGGGGGGGGGGGGGGGGGGGGGGGGCGGGTGGGGGCCGGGCCCCATCCCCGTCCAAAGGGGCAGCGACTTCTTGGCTTCAGCCGGTTACTGCCTCGTGGGGAGGCAGGTCGCAACCATACCAGGTCGCTGGGCTTTGATTTGTTTGTTGTTTTTTTAAAGAGACACCGGAAGTCCAGCTTTGTTACCAGATGCCATGTGGGCCCATCACTGGGCTTGAGCTCTGCACATTCAGTGCTCCGTTCTCTGCCACATAATGCAGGATTCTATAAAACCACCCCGCACTGGTCCAGCATTACCTCCCCGTGTGCACACATATGTGCACATTGCCACAAAGAATTGTTTACACGAAACTACGCGTGGTATATTTTATAGGAGATTTAAGGGCTTTTCGAGGGTAATTTTGTTAATACGCCAGTTTTGCCTTAAGGGACCCACGTGAGAACCTAGCTTTCCTTGCAACTCCTCTGTGGTTTAGAAATTATTTTTTTAAGCATGCAATCTAACCTGAACTCCCACTCTGCAAGCCAGACTGAAGGGGCTTCCTTTGCCTGCAGATGCTTATAAATGATGGAAAATTCTGTGTCCCTCCAGTGACATAAAGGTCAAGGCCCACGCATGGCTCGAGAGGACATTGGAAGGCTGGGTCTCTGTGACCACCAGCTGCTGCCTGGGCTCAGCATGAGCCATTTCCAGGAGAAGCTGTTCTCTGTCCTTGATTCCAGCTGGCCCCTCTGCCTGGAAACGTCCTCCCTCTGAAATTTCCTTTCCCCTTGGCGGAAGCCCTCTCTGGTGAAGGGCAGGGGTGTGGGTGAGTATTTTTGGGAGGACAGAATGACAAGCTGTGTTGTCTTCTCTCTTAGGGTCACGTCGTGGACAGCCACAAGCTGGAAGTGAGGATCTCCGAACGAGCCACCGAGTGAGTCTTCGGTGCCCCATCTTTGCTTTGACTGGGGCAGTCCCTTCTGCTCTGGTGCTGGTTCCCCAGCCCCTTGACATGACCCCCCCACCCAAACCCCTCACCATCTGGGACTCTTCCTAATGAAGCTGGTGTCCCATTTGCCAACTCTGAGGCCCATTTCTGTGAGGAACTGGGACTGCTCCAGTCCTTTGAGTAAATGCTTAACGCACATTTATTATTATCGAAGGAGCAAGAGTGGGAAAAACAAGCATGTCCTGCTCATCTTGGCGGTTTAAATAACCCAACAAAGAGTTGCAAGCCCAAAGTTGGGGCTTTGGGCGAATGAAAGAAGCAATAAAAACTTAGACATCCGCCTTTATAGGGCTTTCTTTCTCAAAGCTGGACAACAGAGCCCAGAGACAGCCTCCAGTTCGAAAGAGATTCAGTAGGCATTAGACATGGAGACAGACCTGTCTGCCCAGTGACCAGTTGCCTGAAGTGGTAGGGTTTTCTCTAAGAGTTTAGTTTTGTTCCTACCCTTCTACCCGCTCATACGTCTAAATGAGCTGATAACCCCCGGGGTGCTTTGAACAGTGCCCGGCATACAACGTGCCCAGTGTAAGGCTTTATTGTCATCGTCATGATCATCTACCTGCCTCAGGTGATGAAGTGACTGCCTCTAACAGTCCTAGGGCTGGTTTAAGGTATTTATTTGGTAGTTGTCAGCAAGTTGGTCATTTGTTGTGGTCTTTGAGCAGATGAGCTGCCAGTGGCCACTGCTTTTCCTTCCTTCTCTCACTGTTTTCAAACTACTCGTGAATCCAGCCCCAGGCTACCTCTGGTATTGTTTGCCCATCCCGGTCTGTGCCGTGTGAGCATCATTCGGGTGAAGGCGGCTTGGTACGGGACGGGTTCCTGAGCTATGATGGAACAGGGGGATTCCAGGCATTGGGCCCCACAGCTTTGGGTTCTAGTCCCAGAGCCGCGTGACCTTGGGTGGCTGACTTGGCCTGTGAAGTAAAATGTGCCCACTGGAGATTGTGTGTGAAGCGCATGGCACATGCTGTGCCCATGAGCACTCAGCCGGCGGTGGCAATCTTTCTTTTCCATACCCTATCTACAGGGTGTCAAGCTAAAGTCACCTTGCCGAGCTTTCAGTGCCCAGCCACTGTTGATTGAGTCGTCCTTTTATTCAACAAAAAATCAGAGAGAGCCCACTGTGTTCCAGATACTCTGCCCAGTTCCCAGGAATGGAGTTTCCTTGTGGTGCTCACATTCTGGGGCAGTGTATTTGGTAGAACCTTCTACAGTGGTGGGATTCTTCTCTAATGTTCTACATCTGTGCTGTCCAATATGGCAGCCACTTGCTACATGTGGCATTTGAACACTTGAAATGGGGGGAGTGCAGTGTATTATCTATTGGCTGCATAACAGAGTATCCCAAACCCAGCTTAAAACAGCAAACATTTATTATCCCATGGTGTCTGTGGGTCCGGAACTTGGGAGCAGCTTAGCAGGGTACTCTGTCTCCGGGTCTCTAGAGGTTACCATGATGATGCTGGCTAGGGCTGCAGTCTCATCTGAAGGCTCCCCAGGGACTAAAGGATCCTCTTCCAAGATGGCGCCCTCACAGGGCTGTTGGCAGAAGGCCTCAGTTCCTCACCACATTGGCCTCTCCCTGGATTGCATGAGGGTCTTTCATCTCTGCCTCATCCACAGCAACTCCTTGAATCCCTCACCTGCACAGAAGACCAGAGCGTCGGCTCTTGGAGGGAGGGCAGAGGAGTCCATGGAGGGCAGCAGCTGCCTACACCCTGAATAACCTGAACCCTTTCCCCCGACCGTCCAGGCCAGCTCTGACATCCACTCGGAAGAAACAAGTTCCCAGAAAGCAGACAACGTCAAAGATTCTGGTGCGCAACATCCCGTTCCAGGCTGACAGCCGGGAGATCCGTGAGCTCTTCAGGTGAGAGGCGCTGGTTTGGTCCAAGGGGCAGCGTGTGGGTGGGGAGCCTGCCAGAGTCTTGGAGAAGGCGGGCTTGGGGTCCGCTGATGGCTCCGCCGGAGGCCCAGTGGTCTTTCAGAGGTCATCTTTTGGCTGCCTTTGATTTATCTCCCTTGAACTCACGCACTGCTTTCCAGAGCAGTGTGCAGAAAAATCCCAAAGCAGCCAGGCCTCCTCCTCCTCCAGAGGTGAGACAAAAAGAAAGGGATGCTAATCTCCATCCCCACCCACAGCAGGATGGGGCAGGAGCCCACGTGGCTGACGCTCAGCTCTACCCACCATCTGCCTGAAATTCTTCCACCCAAGGCACTCCTCTGGTCTAAGCCAATGGTTCTTCTCCTTCTTAGTATTTTCGAGTCACTTGGTGACTCTTATAAACATACCTTTGCTCAGGCCTCACCCCCAGGGAGCTGGATTTTGTTGATCAGGGGCGGGGCCCAGCCATTGATATTTTGATCAGAGCTCCTCACGGGGGTTCGGGCTCTACTGACCAGCTGGAGTTGGGCACCGCTGTCTACATTGCTACTTACGGAGAAGCCATTTCGAAATAAGGATGAATCACCTGCATAGATCATGCCGTCCATAAGCAGATGCTAGCACGGGGTCAAAAATTCCAGGTTCTGGGACCTGGAAGAGCAGGCTTGGGGGCAGGGGGCACAGCTGGAAGGCCAGTTGTGAGGCCGTGCAGAAAGGGAGGTGTAATCAGACCAGTTTTCCCACATTTCGAAAGAGAAACCAGCAGTTGGATTTTTGGGGGGAATAAGTTGGCAACTAATTTACTTTCTGAAAATAAACATGGTATAGGACAAAGTCTCTGCCTGTGGCCAGATATAGCCCAAGAGCCACCACTTTGCAACCCCTGTGCTGATACATTACACTGTTGAGCTTTTGAGGTGAATGAGGTCCTGCCCAGAACCAAGCCCTGGATCAAACGTCTCTATGGAGGACATCGCAGGAAGATGTTTAAAGCCCAGGCCCTCCCCAGGCGAGTGCTGGGTGGTGCAGAGAGAGACCATCTAGCCCTCGGAATGTGACGGCAGATGGAATTAGCCCCGACCGAGCAGATCGTTGTGGGGCGCCCCCAGAACGTACAGCACCTGGCCCGCGGGATCGAGAGAGCTAGGTCCCCGTTAGAATTATCACTTAGCATCTTACTCATTAGGTCAACTTACCGATGTCAACTGTGGATGCAACATGCAAATCCTGTATTTTGGGGACCAGAAAGAAGTATCTTTGTATGCAGTCTGCCTCTCTGCACTCATTTGGTTTAAAGGATAGGGAGCCATTTATGGGATTTGCTTCAAAACTCGCCATCCCTCTCGCCTCTGTGCCCCATCGTCCACTGGTGTGCAGTTCATTAACAGGCGTGGCTAGCGGGAGCTGATGCAGACGCCTTCCCTGCCGGCTTCTAGTAGCTGAGCCTTAGCTGTGATCCCGGGTCCCCTGCGTGGCAGCAGCAGCAGCCTGGTGAGCTGGGGTCACAACCTAGGGGGGAGAGTTTTCCATTTCCCCACACGCAGGGAGACAAGTCAAGAGGAGTACGTGAGTGAGGCCGTTACAAGAGAGTCCGTATCCTCAGCCCCGTGTGCCTGCTTGTTTTCACATGCTTCTGCTTTTTAAAGAGAGTCCAATTTAAGAACTGCCAGATCAAAACGGGATTGCTGCAAACAGCACATGTTGATCAGGAAATAGTATCCCGCCGAAATGACAGTTCCACTTGCTTCCACAGTGTATTTAGGATGACACTTATCCAGGGAAACAAAAGACGCAGACAGAGAGGGAAAGCGCTTTGTTTGATCTCTTGTTTTATATTTATTTTGAGAAGACCGGGAATTAGTGTCCACCGAACGTAATTACGCGTGGCATCTCTTCTCCCTGCCATTGTTGTGATGGTGGTTTCCACCAGCCCTTGGAAATGAACGGAAAGCCAGTCTTCGAGGGCTCACCTTGCTTTGTTGTGTACTCGGGCTGGGGGTGGAGGCAGTCCCGAGCGGCGGGCAGCAGGGGTCGCTGTGAGCCTTCTCAGGGGGGGCTAAGCTGGTCCACTAAACCAAAGACCCGATTTCCAGACAAAGCCAGTGGCCGGCAAAGGTCAGAGCCAGGGGAGGATTTCAGGATTGAGGGGAGCCAGTCTGGTCCATTTCTCGCAGGCAGGTTTTGTAGGTTTGTCCTTCCAGGTATAATCAGAATCCCAGCTTCCTCTGATGGAGCGCTCGCCGTGTGTTGGGTCCTAGCTGTGGGTCTGCCGGTGCCATGTCTTCTCTTTAAGCTGTGCGGCCATGCTGCGGTGGAGGGATGCTATTCCCCGTTTTGCACCCAGAATGATGCTGGAGACCCGGGCACCGGAAGCATCCTGCCCGGGACCCCACAGCTGAGCCAGGGTTGGGAATTCAGTTGTCTGCCCCAGAGCTGTGGCTTGGAACCACTTCTCTCTGCAGCCTGCTGTCCTCCTCCCGGGTCTGGAAGGACACTGCCCCCAAGATCATGTCAGCGGAACCACTATCCCGTGAACGTATGGTTCGTACCGGCCATTGTGCTAGGTGTCGGGCATGCAGCCGTTGCAGGAGAGATGGGCTCCCCCCCTGAGGGCTTCACTGTCTGTGGGGGACCAGGGAGCAAAGCGACAGTGACAGTCAGACAGTGACACTCTCATGGTGTGCAAGAGTGAGTGTAGGGCCGTGGGAAAGCATGGTCAGGTTCTCAAGGGCATCCGCCAGGAGGTGGCAGCTCGCCCGCCCTCCCCAGCATCCTGGGGCCCTGCCCGTGGACTGGGGCGGCAGCTTCCCAGCCAAGGCGGCATTTGCCTGCGCCTTCCCTGGAGGCCAGCAGCCTTGCAGTCGGGCCTGCCCGCACCACACCGCAGCCCCTTGAGCCCAGCCGCGACGGGGCCCGAGAGGCGCTGCGGATCCACGTCCCTGCAGGGTTGTCGTCGGGGGCAATTCGAGCCCCGCCCTTTAGAAAAGTCAGAGTAGACACGGCAGTGGATTGGGAGGCAGCACTTCTCTGCCACCTCCCTTCTGGGCCTCAGTTTCCCCCGGCACAAAATAACAGTAGTAACACTACTGCCGGCATACGCTTGTAACGTACGATGAGGATGCAGTAAAACGTTAGTGTTTATCATCAAGTAAAGTCTTCCAGCCCATCCTGTGCCAGGCGCTGCTTTGCGTTAGTACAGGTCTGTTTCCCACAACAGCCCTGCGGAGGAGGGTTGCCTCCCTTTCCCAGGGAGAAAATCCGCTCCCCAGCCCAGATTCCCACCCCTGGGCCAGCCGCCGGTTCGCCCAGAGTCCAGCTCCCACGCTATGTGACTGCTTCGGGTGATTTTGCATGCGGAGCATTTAATACAGGGCCTGGTGTGGGGTAGGTAGTTGATAAACACTAGCTATGATTCTCGAACAGCACAAAACAGGTGGCAGCAGGCTTGGAACCAGGGCAGGGCTGACTCGACAGCCTATCTGACAGCAGTGCAGAGCCTCGACAGTCCTCTGGGGCATTTTCTCAGTGTTTCTCCTCCTTCTCTAAGTATGTCCCTCCTGCCCTGTGATCGTCTCCCCCTCCCGCTAGTTCTGGGCTGGAGAGGGTCAGTATTGGGGGACACAGGCCTCTCCACCCCAAAAAGGAAACACAGAAGACAAATGGGGATTCTCTGGAGTGTGCAAGTGTGTGCATGCATGCAGGGAGCAGACTCCTCACCCCACAGCCAGAGCAGGGGTGGAAATGACCCCCCGGCTCACCCTGCTGTGTGCACGGTCTTAAGCCAGTATCCGTTCCAGAAGAAGGGGGGACCAGCTTCCCCTCCTATCTGGGTTTGCTCTGGGGAAAGTGGGCATGTGTGTGGACCTCTGCATCTGGGGGATGCTTTGCCCACCTCCATTGGAAAGCCTGCATTTGAAGGTCCCTGGGACAGAGGGTGGTGTAGAGAACAGCCCTACAGATGGAGCCTAAATCTGTACCCCACCTGAAGCTTGTGCATTCAGACACCCCCTCCACCCAATCCTTATGCACAAGCGCGAGTGCAGAGCCAAGGCATTTGATGGACAGGTCTTGTTCCCACCCAGGTTTCAAGGGCTGGCCCCGAGATGGCACAGACGCCTTGGGAACGGGGTGGCTAATGCTCTCGGCACTCAGGCGGTGTTAGGCAGCAGGCTCACCACATCCCACGTGTGAGAGCTGCTTGCCCACCTCCTAGAGGAGGAACCTGGGGCCCCGAGAGGTACAGGGCTGCACCTAGAAGGACCCTCGGCTTTGCCTGTTTCTCTTGTACCCCATGGGCAGCCTTGGTTTGGGCTGCTCAGTTCCTGAAAGGCAGTGATCCTCCAGGAAGGAGGTTCTGCCAACAGGGCTGGCTTTGTGAGCGTGTGACCGTGTGGCCCCCTGAGGCCCCATGCTTGCTTCAGTGCTCTCTTGTCACCGTCCTGAAATTCTTACTGTTTGGACGAGAGGCCCTAAGTTTTCGTTTCACACTGGACCCTGCAAATGACATAGCCCAGTCCTGCCTGCAAGCCCCTGGAATGGTGCCTGGCACACAGGAAGACGGTTCGTGCCCGCTGGAATTAGCGATTTTAAAATAGTCCTTCAGCTCACCCCCAGCCAACATGGCTGGGCCTATCCTAGTCTCTCAAAACTCCCAGCCCACCTCCCAGCCACCCTTGGAGAGCCGTCCCTGTGGTAGTTTAGTGTCCCTTACCCACCCACCCCCACCCCCACCCCCAGACTGTAATCTCGGACACTTAGGTCGCTGCTCTGTCCACAGGTCCCTGGTACACAGAGGGTGCTCAATAAGTGTTTGCTAAGCACACAGGTACACTCTGCACCCTTGCTTATGGAATCCTAATAAAAACAGGAGGTGCGAGGCACAGAGAGGCCAGGGAGTCTGCCCGGGGCCACACAGCTCCGCAGGGGCACCACCTGTTCTCTCTCACTCTGGAGACCCACCACCTCTGTGAGACTGTGCACAAGGG